TAAAAAAATTGTAACTTATCGTTTTATTCATGAATTTTTTTTCAATATAAAAGGGCCCCCATTTCCAAAATTCGCCTTAGGCCCCGACGAATTCAGGGCCGACCCTGGAAGTACTACATATTTGTCAATATCTCTATGTTATTATTAGTTGATTTGCTAGATTATACTATCAATTTAGAGCCCATATGATTTAATTCAATGTCCATGAATTTATTTGTATTCGACCATTTTTTGTTGAGTAACTAACCAATATAATTTTTTTTTTGGTATATAATGATTAAAGCTATCATTTGTTATATTTTTTCAAGTACAATTCAAATATTTTTTTTATCATTTTTTTATAAATAAAATGGATTAAAACTATTCTCTTATATAATTTTTATAATACTATGACATTCTTATCTTGATTAATTTTTTTAAAATGACGTAGGAACTATGCAAATATTATTCAAATTATGGAGAATGATTTATACTTTGATATGATATGAGTGTGTCATTGATAGAGGAAATCAAAGATAGAGAGTTGCTAATATAATTAATTAATGATTTGTTTGAGAAGTTCTTTTAATAAGCAAGGCAACAAACTTAGATTAAATTTTTTTAAAAACTACTTATAAATTATAATTAAAAGTTGATATTTATTCATAATTTGATCCCACAATGATAATATACACCACTGATTTAAAAGTCTAAGTAAATTTATATATATAGTATAGATGTTATCAAGTGATTGTGATACTATTATTCTCAACAATTTTTATAATTAATAATTTCTTATGCATATCAAATTTTATTGTAAAATTTTGTGGGTTAATTATTGTTAACATCTACCTAGATGGCTTAATATTATGGCTTGTCACTATTAAGATATAATTTAAGATTAAGATGATTTATTTATCACACAAAATATATATAGTCTATTTTTCGGTGCATCGCATGGGTTACCGCTAGGATAGTTAATAAGACAAAGTACATGTTACATTCAAATTATAATAATTTAACTTTTTCACTCATAATTATCAAATCAACTATAAAAAAAAGTTAAAAGTTTACCTCAAATAGAATTTTTTTAGCCAAATTAGACTAAAAAAGTTATTCCAAACGGGACAGCCTAAAAGAATTAAAGTATAATTTTTTAAAGATTTTTTTTTAAACAACTTTTGTTTTTTTTTTTTTTGAACCAGAAAAAAAGGGCTCTGTGGTGTCATCATGGCCCCGTTGGGCCCTAACCCCGGGGTAACTGGTTGCCAGCTAGGAATTAACCCCCACCAAGTAAGGGACCCACCACCAAGGCATCAATGGAGGGCAGACACACGCCGCAGCAGAGGCCAAGAACGAGGGGAGTAAAGGGCGAGCTCTCCGAAGAGATAACACATAGCCCCCTCCCAAGAATCGAACCTGGGCTCTCTGCTGTAAAACATGCCGCATCCTCCACCAGGCCGCAGCCCCCTTATTCCAACAATTTTTGTTCATACCATAATATTAATGTGCTACTTACTTTCATACTAAATGATCTAGAGAGTAATATTCAAGCTAAAAAACCAGTTTTAGGCTTTATTTGGAAACTATGGATTTTCATTTAAAAAATAAAAAATATTACAAATTAGGGGGGGACCTAGGCTTTATTTGGAAACTATGGATTTTTGTTTAAAGAATAAAAAATATTACAAATTATTATATCATTCTCTTTATTTTTCTATATATTTTTTTGAAAAAAATTTAGAAAATATTAAAAAAAATCAATTCTCAAACACCTCGTTGGTGAGTCAATCAAAATTTCATGATAATTCTTTTAATTCGGCAAAAATGTAAATTATGTGACCTATAAAAAGTATTCACCCATTAAAAATTTCCATAAACTTGTTACATAATATAATGAGGAAAAAAATCAAAATAAAAGACTGGTTTGAATATATTTTATAAGAGTCTTGCTAATCACTACTAAGGCCCGTGTGACATATGGGTTTAGACTAAATTAGCTAATAAAAAGACATAATATGCTAAATTAGTTAATAAGATAAAATACATACCACATTCAAATTACAATCATTTAACTTTTTCACTCATAATTATCAAATCAATTATAAAAAAAGTTAAAAGTTTACCTCAAATAGAATTTTTTTAGCCAAACTAGACTGAAAAAGTTATTCCAAACCGGGCGGCCTAAAAGAATTAGAGTATAATTTTTTTAAGATTTTTTTTTTAAACAGCTTTTGTTTATTCCAACAATTTTTGTTCATACCATAATATTAATGTACTACTTACTTTCATACCAAATGATACAATTTCTTGAGAGTAATATTCAACCTAAAAAACCAGTTTGCGAGAAAAAGAAAGAAAAAAAAATCCAAGATATTAGATTTATGTGTTAAATTGTATTTATTGAAGTACACGTTTTTAAAAAGGCGTGTATTATATATAAATTATGTAATTTGTAAGTTTAATTATACAAATGACAATTTAATATTATGCGAGTTATAATTAAAAAAAAAATTATAACTAGACACATAAATTATAACAAAGAATTTTTGGATCATATCTAAAATAATATCATAATTAACATCACAATAAATCATAATTAACAACATAATAATTTATAATAAAAAACATGAAAAATTTAATTAAAGGTGCATATGGTATTATGGGTGTGCGTGATGCGATTTGAACGGTTTCAAAGTAAAATTATAAACCAAACCGTGAATGACAGATTGACAAATAATCAAACTCCAATTTAGATGGTTTGGGGGGTTTCAATTTGCTATTTGTTTGAAGAATATTGTTAAACAATTATGAAGCATTTGTATAATATATAATATTAATTTGTATAATATTTTATATATATATTTGAAATTGAACCCGGCCATTTAAATATAAATATATGTGTGTGTTATATTTATTGTAGGCGCTCGTTTAATTTATAAAGTAAGAGTAAAAATATAGTGTAATTGTGATACCGCTCATGTGGTTTCACCAACACACAATTAAACCACATGATGTGAAAGAGAAACTCTAATTTTCAGGTGACACATATACATTGAAGATAAAAGACAAAGAAATGATTGGATGGTAATGCCAATGGCATGTACCACCGTTTTATTCAAGTTTTTTTCATAAAGTAGTGGTTTAGCTGTGGTCTATTTCAAAATCGAATCAAATCGAACTATGTTCACTCTTAATTTTTAGGGTAAATTGCACTGACACGCTATAAGGTTTGGTCCGATTACATCACACCTCCTGATATTATAGAAATTGTATTCTTACCCCTGTGATTAATAGTCTCATTTCACAAACTCCACTCCTTATATAAAAAACAACTCCTAATAAAAAAAATAGAAGAAATTACATTGAAAAAAAAAAATAAAGCAAAGGAAAGAAGAAAAAAAAAATAGAAGTAAAGCAAAGCAAGAAAAGAGAGAATGTATGAATTCAATGTCTTTTTGATACCAACATTAATTTCGTCTAAATAATTGTAATGATAGGGGGTCAATGTAATTTTCTAAACGTCAAGAAGTAATATATATTAAACCCAAATCTCAGGGGTGTAACTGTAATTTACCCAAATAAAAAAAATCAAAATTTATCTTAAATATAACTTATTCTGATATTCCTTAGAGGTTAAAAAAAATATTTAAGGCACTATTTGGTATAACCTACAAAGTATATTTTTTATTTTTTTTATCTTTTTAAACATATTACCACTTAATTTTTTTTGTATATCATTCTATAAAATGTTTAAAAACATACTTATTTAAATTATTCCAAACGAAATGAATCAAATTATAAATACTTATCAAAATTTAATCCGTACCATGGAATCTCCATATTTAGGGTGATTGTTTTTCTGAGTTTGTTGTATATCCTTAAACATTTGGACTGGAACATGCCATTCCATTTTTTGTTGAATAACATGTTTGAAATTGCAAACTCTGCATGCGTATTATTTCATGGGTGTAAATGTAAATGCAGCTTCTGTACTCAATCGTCTTCTTCACAACAACACCCCCAAACCCAGCAAAACTCTGCTACCCACCAACGCCAAATCCTTAACCAACTCAATCGTCGCCGATCTCAACTCCGGCCACCTCCGAAAAGCCGTCTCTGTCCTCTTCAACTCTCCAATCCCCTTCCCTTTCTCTCTCTACGCCCGTCTCTTCCAGCTCTGCTCATCAAAACACGCCATCGTCGAGGCTCGAAAGGTCGAGTCCCACTTGGTCTCATTCTCTCCCACTCCGCCCATTTTTTTACTGAACCGTGCAATTGAGACTTATGGAAAATGTGGGTGTTTGGAGGATGCAAGAGAGCTGTTCGATGAAATGCCTCAGAGAGATGGGGGGTCTTGGAATGCGATTATTACGGCTTATGCGCAAGGCGGGTGTGCTGAGAAAGCATTGTGTTTGTTTTTGTGTATGAATAGGTTGGGAGTTTCCGGAAATGAGATTACATTCGCTAGTGCTCTTGGGTCGTGTGGTGCGGTTTTGGCACTTGTTTTATCGAGGCAAATACATGGGCTTATTGTAAAATGTGGTCTTTCGGGGAACGTGATTTTAGAGAGTTCTCTTGTTGATGTCTATGGGAAATGCCGGGTTATGAGTGATGCGAGGAGAATGTTCTATGAGATTCAGAAACCAAATGCTGTGTCTTGGAATGTGATTGTCAGGCGGTATCTTGATATGGGACAAGAAAGAGAGGCGGTGTTTATGTTTTTTGAGATGGTCCGGGTTAATGTTAAGCCATTATGTTTCACGGTGTCTAATTCTCTTGTTGCTTGTTCTAGAATTTCTGCGGTCAAGGAGGGGATCCAAATTCATGGACTTATAATTAAGACTAATATTGAAGAATATGAGGTGGTTTTAAGCTCTCTCATGGATATGTATGTGAAATGCCGGGATTTGGAGAATGCTCGCAGGATATTTGACATGCCTAGATCAAAGAATTTGATTAATTGGACTGCAATGGTGTCAGGGTATGCAATTGATGGGAGAACTCGAGAGGCAAGGGAGCTCTTTAATGAGATGCCAGAGCGGAATGTGATCTCATGGAATGCAATGCTGGTGGGTTACATACGTTTCTTCCAATGGGAAGAGGCATTGGACTTTGTTTTTTTGATGCGGAAGCAATCCAAGGACATTGACTATGTCACTCTTGGGTTGATCTTAAATGTTTGTACTGGCCTTTGGGATGTTGAATTGGGAAAACAGGTTCATGGGTTTAGCTATAGACATGGTTTCTATTCCAATCTTTTTGTTGGCAATGCCCTTCTTGACATGTATGGGAAATGTGGAAACTTGATTAGTGCTAGAGTTTGGTTCTATCAAATGAGTCATTGGCGGGATAGAGTTTCTTGGAATGCTCTGTTGACTAGCCATGCTCGTCATGGGTTGAGTGAAGAAGCAATGACAATATTCTGGGAGATGCAAGGGGAGACAACACCGAGTAAATATACTTTTGGGACCCTTTTGGCTGCCTGTGCAAATATTTTTGCACTTGAGCCAGGAAGACAAATCCATGGATTCATGATGAGAAATGGTTATGAGATAGATGTTGTTATCAGAGGAGCTTTGGTTGACATGTACTCTAAATGCCGTTGTCTAGAGTATGCTATCAAGGTTTTTAAAGAGGCAACTTCACGGGATTTGATTCTTTGGAACTCTATGGTTTTGGGATGTTGTCACAATAAAAGGGGTGAAGATGTACTTGAATTGTTTGGATTGATGGAGAAAGAAGGTGTCAAGCCAGACCATATCACCTTGCAAGGTATCTTGCTAGCCTGTATTTGTGAGGGCCGTGTTGAGTTGGGTAGGCAGTATTTTAATTCAATGAGCACAAAATTCTGTATAATTCCCCGGTTGGAGCATTATGAGTGCATGATAGAACTCTTTGGTAGGTACGGATTCATGGATGAGCTTGAGGATTTTGTGAAGACAATGCCATTTGAGCCCACTGTTCAAATGTTGACAAAAGTCTTTGATGCTTGTAGAGAGCATAGACACTTGAAGTTGGGAGAATGGGCTGCCAATCGACTAAATGAAATATGAATCCTTCAGTTCCATTCCAGATTGAATTCTTGGATAAGGGTAGATTGGAAACGTAGTGAAAACTAAGAGTGCAGACTAAGACAGATCATATTCTGTGTTTGTCCATAGTCTATGACCTTTTAATCGAACTTCAAATATTGGAAAGCTTACTCTGTATAGCTTCTCATCAAACAAGTGCATTGATAAATATTTTTGTAATAGAAGCTTAACCATTTTCCTTTTGAGGGAGAAGGCACAAGTTGAAGCTAAAGAAAAGAAGCTGTCAGGTTTGAGAACAAGCTCCATTGCACTGTCGTTATCAGGGGGTTCTTTAACCATGCAGCAATTAGCTGCATACATTCTTGATCAAATGCTTGGAAGATGGGCATTCTAGGAAGTGCCAACTTGTATTTATGCTCTTCATCATGATTGTTGTTAGCAGAGGAGTTGGAAGTGCTCCCTCCATGAACTTGAAGATACATGAGCCTAACATTTTCCTCATTTATGTAAATTACTGTTTTACAGAGAAATGTTAAAGATTTCAGTTGCTGCTATTTTTTGAGATTAACTGCATTTGTTGGTTACTTTGGCACATATCATTGCATTATAGAATTTGGAGCTTATGAATACACTGGAAGAACAAGAAATTCAGAATACATCTTGTACAATTTATTTATTTATTTTTTTTGTGGGGGGGGGGGGGGGGCCGTTAAGGGCGTATTTTCTCCTCTCTCCTTTTTTCTTTCTTTTCTTGGAATGATTTCATACTTTTGTATTGTTTGGTAAGTTGGTTCAAGCACTTGCAGACTGTAAATAAATTTGTCAAAATAGATTTGAGCCTGTAGGTTGTGAAATCAACAAGAGTGATTTGTAATATCATGTAACCGTTATTGATCATAGTACTTGGTTCGAGGTTGGATCTGAATTGATCATTTGAATTTTCTGTATCTGCAGCAGTTCTCATCCGGTGACATTTTTCAAGCTCGCGGTATCCAATACAAGAACCTGAATTTTTATGTGGATATTTTATGAAAGTTTAATTACTCTGTTGTATTAGGAGATACATACAGAATGCAAATTCAACAAATTTGACCACTAGAAAATGAGTTGTCTCTTCAAGGAAGGGGAAAATACCATTTTCATAAATTCCAATGTGAGGTTAGAAGTTTGAATTGGCCTTTTCTTTTAGGGAAAATTTCAGTTCAGTGAGTGTTTTGGAAAAATATTTACAGCTAGGTAGTAAACTTTACAAATCTTCATAATTAAAATTATAAAATTTTTAATGAATATGTAATAATTTTATAAAATTATCACTAAATAGTAATTTCCCCTTTCTTTTATGCCCCTAGTTTTGGACTCTAACTTTGTAGTTTTAGTTGCATAGCACTACTTTTCACATTTAAGACGATTGCAACAAAAATAATAAAATAAAAACAAAAATATTTCACAGCTGTCCTACCCACCACCGACTGGTTTGTTTTGACATTATGGCTTATTGAAGTCTATACAACCAATACCATCTATAAAATTATATATAAATAAAAAAAAAATAAGTCTATACAACCAAAAAAAAAAAAAAATGACATTAATAAGTCATATAAAAAACGGAGGAGATTATAGAGTTAATTCCCAATATCATTTTGGAAAAACCAAGAAATTTTTTTTGTTATGTATCACCGGATAAATTCTATCAATTTTTTTGACTCTTACATTAATTTACATAATAAATATTTTGTCTACATAGAAGATTCATCATACTAATAAGTCTTATGAGCATAGTTATCATAACATCAATTCAAATCGTAAATGATTAAGATTACACTAGGATGTTAAATTCAGTAAGATCTTAAAGTGATTACGACATAATCATAAAATTATGCAGAATTGCATTACGATGCCGATTGTACTACGATCTTGATCCTACCAAGTTATTTATTTATTATATATCTTATATACTATTATATATGTGAGCACCTAGTGGTGTCTTGAAACTTTCTTTCTCTTTATGTCAAGTGTCCAATTTTCTATTCACAAAAAGGAGGGAAAAAAAAAAATAGAGAAGAGAGTGTGATTTGAACTTGAGACACAAATTTGATAAACAAAGCTTTTATCATTTGAGTTGCATACGAGATATACCAAATATTTTGTTTATTTATTTATTTGACTTGCACACGCAATGCGTGTGCCAAACCACTAGTGCATGTATATGTGTATACCTTTGACTATAAAATCGTTCTCCAAACATCTCCTCTAATTTATGTTAACTGAGAGGGAGACTTGCGCCGGACAAGTACGGCCGAGCTATGATAACGCGAGTTATAACGGACCTTGCGAGAGCCGTTTGCTCGGTCGGGGCGGCTCCCCGGCCTGTCATGCTGGTCCGAGTTACGTTTGTCGACCGGAACGTGGAGTCGTGCCTATGCCAAACCGAGTCGTGATTCGGCTGGGTATTCGGTCGGATCCGCAATGGAGCGTCTAGACCAAGCAAAACACGGCCCGGGATGAATTTAGGCCGAGTTGGAGGCCGGCGCTCCTCACGGACAGTCAGTCCGGATGAATCGACTTCTTATGGCTCGGTCGTATTGATCATGGTTGTGTTTCTTCCCAAGGAATAGGTCGGTCGTGATATCCCGGTTGAGCGTGCCACCTGAACCAATGGTGTGACGGAGGGGAAATCCACTCCTGGCACGCGCTAATACCGTTTGGCAGTTCCATACATATTGTTTGGAGGTTTTGGCCTTTACACGCGTAAAGTAGTGAGAGGCAAGCACTGCCACCTGTCCAGGGAAGGACAGCAGAAGTAGTGCGCGCACAATCCCTGAGGCTGCATGGCCAGCCTCGAAAAGGAAGGATCAGGGACGTTGGAAGGATGTAATCTGAACAACTCTCTCTCTCTAAAAACAGTACTCTTCTTCCTCAAGTGATCTGACTTGATCATCGGAGGGTCTATCCGGCAACACACCACCGGGCAGCTCACCATTTCTTTGTCTTCAGGTCAGGCGTCGTTACGAGAAGCTTGAGTTCAAGGAGTACGGAAAGCAAAGGATATTTTACCTCCGTACAATTGGCGCCGTCTGTGGGAAAACTTTGATACTCAAACCTTGCTCTTCAAGCTTTTTCGACCGTTTCCATGGCTAACAACGACGAAACTCCACTGTCCGTCGTCGATGGTGTCACACCAGAGTCTGTTCGGCGGAAAGAAGGCCCCCCAAATATTCCAGCCATGACGGGCCTAGAGACTTCTTTGAGAGTTGCGCGAGACAAAAGCGCAAGGAGTACTGATCGCTCGAAGAGTCCAGAAGGCCGCCGACGGCGGGGGGATTCACATGCACAGCGCCTGGAGCACAAACTCAAAGATCAGGACGCCCTCATTCGCAAGATGGCGACTGAAATGGAGGTGCTGAAACGCCAGATCAAGGGGAAGGGTGTTGCTGGAGAGTGCAACCTCAGTGAGCGCACCCCGTCTCCTCATTCTGGCAGTTGCCGCCAAGAAAGGACGCATTCTCTCTCTATCACTAGAAGCTATGAGTTGGGGACTCCGACCCACGGGTGGGCAAATCTCACGCTCACGACAGCACCTACTATTCCTCACGTCCATCAACGACATCGACGTCGCGATACTCCTTTTCCGCCCGTTTGGGAGACCTGAGGGATGTATTGGAGGAGAGGGCTCACCGTAGGGAGACTCAGAGATTGCCGACATTGCAGAGGTTAAGTTCAAAAACCTATTGTAGTGAGGAAGTGGTAATGCCAGCACCTAGAGTGGTAGCCCCAGGGCTTGTGGACAAAGAGCTAGCGAGACTTACAGCTACACCACTGTCTCTAGAAATCGAGAGTACACTGCTCCCTGCCGGATTCCACCAGCCTAAGTTTATGTTCTACGACTGCAAGACGAACCCGTACATACATGTGAGTCATTACCGGCAGGTAATGGCGGGGCACCGGCGCAATAACGCCTTGATGTGCCTCATATTCCCAACAAGCTTGGGAGAACTGGGCCTGAAATGGTTCGAAAGGCTTCTGGAGGGGAGTATCGAGGGATGGCAGCAACTAGCGGAAGCCTTCGTCACCAGATTCAAAACCAACACTCGAACACCAAAGGAGGTCCATCTCCTGGGCTTCAAGATGAAGTCAGGAGGATCGTTGAAGGCATAAAATGTGAAGTACTAGAAAACCTACAATGAGATCCTCAACTACCCCACCAATTTGGCGATTACTCAATACAAGCGAGGTCTCCCAATCGGACATAGGCTGCGAGATTCGCTTACAATGCATCAGCCCACGACCATGGAGTCCTTGATGCAACGAATCAATGAACACATCCGTGTGGAGGATGATGCCGCCTCCGCGACCGAGAAGGCTAATCTGGTCGCGGCGGATAGAAGAATGACGGGGAAGGTTCACTCGGTCGGGCAGGAGGACAACCGCCCAAACGACCGGTCAAAAGATCAATGTCGTGGCTCAAACCACGATGATAGAAACAAAGGTCGCAGAAACGACCGAGCTAACGCTCCCCTTGATGAAGAGGAAGACGCCAAGAGCAAGTTGAAGGCGCGAACTGGTATCACCACGGTCTTTAAAATCCCTATTTACTGCATCCTGAGTGAAATCCGAAGCGAACCTTTCGTTCGTTGGCCGGCCAAGTTGAGGAGTACACAGAGAGGCTTCAACTCAAGATATCGCTGCACCTTCCATGAGGAACGGGAGCACCGAACGGAGGATTGCTTGCCGCTCAAACAACATTTGGAGGAGCTGGTGGTGGCGGGACATTTGGACCAATACATCGATGGGGGCATGAAAGCCACTCCACTGGGACAGACCAAACCAAACGGCCTAGTTACCCTGGACGCGGCACCACAAGGTGTAATCAATGTCATCCATGGCATCATCGAACCGACAAGGGTCTGTGAGCTGGGAGGGATGATCAAGAAAGCCGAGCACATGAGGGAGGTGCTCTCCGTTCAGCTCGCTATGAAGAAAGGAAAGACCAAAGAAAAATATATCCTTACCTTTTCAAGTAAGGACTCTGAGAGAGTTCAAGTGCCTCACAATGACGCCCTAGTAGTGACTCTTCGCGTCAAAAACTTCGACGTCAAAAGAATTTTGATTGACCAGGGGAGTTCAGTTGAAATCATGTATTATGACGCATTCAAACAAATGAAGTTGGAGGACAAGGATTTAGCCCCTGCAACGTCTCCTTTGGTTGGCTTCAACTCTCAACCAGAATGGCCAATAGGAAAGATCTTATTGCCGGTCAAAACGGGTTCGGTCATGAAGCAAGTAAAGTTCTGGGTGCTTAAGGTCTCGTCCACCTACAACTTAATCTTGTGCAGAGGCTGGTTGCACGCCATGTAAGCAGTAGCGTCGACCTACCATCAGGTTCTGCATTTCCCGACGCCAACCGGGCAGATAAAAGAGGTTTGGGGCGACCAGGTAATGGCAAAGCAGTGCTTCGTTGCTGTGAACGGTAGCCGAGCCGCCAAAGGCTTTGTTCAAATGATAGAGGGCCCAGAGGGAAAAGAAGTCCTTGAAGACGTAAGAAGAAAGGCCAAGGAGAAATCGGTCGAAGATTTGGTGGAGGTGCGCATCGACGAGAACGATCCAACTAAGTTCTTTCTTTTGGGATCATCCTTGTCCAGCGCTGAGCGACTCCAATATGTCGACTTCTTGGTTTCCAACATAGAAGCTTTTGCATGGACACCTTACGATATGCCTGGCGTCGACCCTAGCTTCATTTGCCATCAGTTGAACGTCTTCCCAAATGCACGCCCGGTCATCCAGAGTACAAGACGCTCGGCCTTGAACCATGCCGAAATAGTGGCGGAGGAGGTCAAGAACCTGCTAGAAGCAAATGCCATAGACGAAAAACAGTACCCAAGGTGGATCTCCAACACAGTAGTAGTGCCGAAGAAAAACGGTAAATGGCGAGTGTGCGTTGATTACAAGACGGTCAACCGCGCGTGCCTAAAGGATAGCTTTTCCCTCTCAAGAATTGACCAGCTGGCCACCAGAGGTTTAGCTTCTTGGATGCGTATCGGGGCTGCTACCAGATAGCCATGTGTGAACCAGACTGAGAAATCACTTCATTCACCACTCCACGAGGCTTGTATTGTTACAAAGTCATGCCGTTCAGACTGAAAAATACCGGGGCGACTTTTCAGAGGATGGTAACCAAGATGTTCACTCCCCTTCTGGGCCACACCATGGAGGCTTACATCAATGATATGGTGGTAAAAAGCCAGGAAAAGTCTCAACACCTTCGCCAACCTAGCAGAGATGTTCGCTACACTTAAACATCACAAGCTGCGTTTGAATGCCTCCAAGTGCGCCTTCGGAGTTGGCACCGGCAAGTTTCTGGGTTTTTTGGTCACAAATTAAGGAATTAAAGCTGACCCTTCCCAAATCAAGGCGATACAAGAGCTGGAGCGCCCAAACTCCACGAAGGACATGTAACATCTTGCCGGGATGGCAGCCGCGCTGAACAGATTTATAAGCCGGTCTTCGGATCGTTGTAGGCCTTTCATCAAAACTTTGAAAGCCAAGTTCTTCTGGGATGACAAATGTGACCGTGCGTTGGCGGATCTAAAAGTATACCTTTCCTCAGCCCCTATCCTAGTCACACCAAAACTAGA